CGCATGCCCTACTGGGGGACGACGGGCAGCCCCTCAGTCCCCCCACACTCAGAGTCCTACTGGTGGTGATGATGCTGCAGCTGCGTGGGCCTCGCGCTACACTCTGGCCCTTCCCATTCCCAGAGGCCACGGGCGACGTCGTAGAGGCTATGATGGGCCTGTGCCTTCCGTGGCAGGAGGCCCACAAAGAGTTCCGCGCCCAGTTCGCCGAGACGTGGGGATTCCAGCTCGCGGACTTTGCCTCCCTCCACACCACGTTAGAGCAGGTCATTCACCACATTAGCACGTTGGCCACATACGCTCATCACCACGAGATTGCAGCTGAGCGCGAATGCCCCAGGGTCATGGGCAGGAATGCAGGAGCATGACTTCACCCTCGAGGCCCCCTTGCGCGTGCTGGAGGCAATGGTCCAGCCCGCGAACGTCAAGCAGCTAATCAGTGGAGACTGCTCCATCTGCCAGTTGCACAAGGCTTTGACGGGATCAGACGTGGGGCTTGGCAGCCCACGCACCATGGAGGACCTGCAGTGCAGGGGGCGGGGTTGCAATTTCCAACCACCGTCTCGATGGGGACATCCTGGCCTCCCCGGCCCCAGGAACAACGCTGCCCCCCCGATCGTTCGAGACGGCCGCTTCTGCAGGCTGCAGAAGGGCGCCACCTGCAGCTGCGACGGATGCACCAATGCAGGACTGCATGGAGCAGCAGGCACAGGGGAGGGTGACGACACCCGGGAACTGCTAGCCCAGAACCGAGCTCAGGCGCACACGGAGGGCAATAACTGCAGATGGCTCTGCGAGCAATGCTGGGTCAGCTCCCTGGAAAGCAAGGGGATGCACGTCCCCGTGCCCAGCTCAACGGAGCGCAGTACCAAGATGTCCATGGAGTGGCTACTACAGGAGTGCAAGCGCAGAGTGGACGACGACCGTGCACGCAAGAGAGCCAGGACTCTCCCCTCTCTGTCCAGACTACCGCTGGGGTTCGGGCAGCCTACCGACGCCCCAGCCCCAACCTCTCTGAAGAACCTCGTCGTGCGCACGCCGCGCCAGTTCCAGCCAGCCGGCGCAGGCACCACACTCCCACCACACAGGCTCACCGACGGCAGGTTCGGCACCGGAGTGCACCTCGCCCAACTGTACTCGGCCACGTGTGACACCTATCCACCCTGTTCCCCCTTGCTAGAGTGGTCGCCGGGCTCGCCAGCCCTTGGCTGCTTCATATGGCGCCCAGAGGCAGACGCAGACTGCAACGAGCAGACTGGCCTCCCGCCGTGGGGCGCAATGCCCCTGCTGTGGATCAAGAGGAAGTGGGGCGCAGGCTGGGCATGCAGGAGGTGCCTGGTTCACATCTGGGACATTGCCCCAGGCGCCCTCGATCGAATGCTTGACCAGTGCTCCAGCGAGATATACCCAGCCTCCCCGACCAAGAGGCCGGCCATGAACGAGATCACAGAGGAATGGTGCATCTACGACATGTCCGCGCACCTTTCCACAACCGGCCGCGCGCCAGCCGCAGGCTCTGACGCGCCAGCTCCAACGGGCGACGGCCGGCCAACGCAGCCCCCCCCCCGGGCTGCCACAAGGGGCCCCAGCCGGGGTCACCTTCAGCTACTCGCTTCCCGACCTACCACCGCCCGCTGCGCCGTCGCTCCCCGCGTGCTCCACCCACCGTCTGGCAGGGGATGAGTCGAGAGGCCCTGTCCGCGCGTTGGTAAAATACTTGATTGAGTGGCGCCACGCAATCTACACCATCTGGGCAGCCCACGCGCAGCGCTTGGGAAGAGACATTGTGGGCGAGGTAGCCGACGAATCGGGGTGGCCCCTCGAACATTTGGTGCCCTTTCTGGCAACTATCCACGGGGATGAGATACCCAGCAACGGCCACCCCCCGCGCGCCCCCTGGGGCGGACAGAGGGCCGCGGCTGCCAGGGTTGTCACACACCGAGTGGGGAGCAACCCGAAGTACCGGGAGGAATGGAAGTGCTTCGCAGACAAACTCGACAATCAGAAAGGACAGTGCCCCCACCGACAGCCATTGCAGACACTCGCCCTCTTTCTCTCAGGGATGGGGGGTGACCTATCAGGAGGAACGATGGAGCTCCTCGCCGGCCAGCCCAAGGTGGCAAAGACCAGTGGCGCTGACAAAGGAGGTCCCCCCACTGCCATTTGGCTCTACAGGCCCCGGGAGGAGCTGTCTGGCCCTACTTCTCAACGCGCATTTGGCCACGCGTCCCCCCAGCAACCCGCCGCGCCAGGTCAGTCCGACGGGTGCGCAGTAGACGTGCCGTCCCCATGCAAGTACGGAAGCGGCGGCGGCGAGCATGAAGGGATCGACTGGGACGAGTCCAACAAGGGATCCGAACCGGACGGCCAGGCGCACGGAAGCCCACCAGACATTTCCGACTCCGAGGTGCAGGCCAGTCCCGCACACCAGGTAGATGATGCCGACATTCCGGGACCGAGCAATCGTGAATCCGCCCGAAGTATTCCCCCCCAGTGGCCCCGCCCCCCCCTGAGGGTCGATTCGCAAGCCTGGCCCCATATGCACGGGCCGTCGCAGACGCGGTCAGTGACGGCAGGAAGCTCAGGCTAACGGAGAACAGTCTGGCCGCCGACCTCCCACAATTCCCGAAGACACCCCCATGGGTCGCTCTTTCCCTCCGCCCCGCAGCTCACCCAGGCAGCAACGCAGCGCGGGTCGAGGGCGCGACACACAGTCAGTAACAATCCCACCAGCGCGCCCGGATGACCCCATGGGTGGTCTCCCCATGTACTTGCGGCCCATCAACGAAGCAAATGCCACGAGGGGCGAGCCGG